GCCCATCAATGATAGTCTGGATAAAGAAAATGTGGAACAGATATACCATGGAATATTATGCAGCATAAAAAAACGAGTTCATGTCCTTTGCAGGAACATGAATGAAGCTGGAAACCATCATTCTCAGCAAACTGACAGAAGAACAGAAAACCAAACACTGCATGTTCTCACTCTTAAGTGGGTATTGAACAATGAGAACACATAGACACAGGGAGGGGAACATCACACACCGGGGCCTGTCAGGGGGTTAGGGGTTAGGGTAGGGATAGTGGGGAGGGGGGATTGGGGAGGGCTAACATCAGGAGAAATACCTAATGTAGATGATGGGGGGGATAGATGCAGTAAACCTTCATGGCACATGTATACCTATGTAACAATCCTGCACATTCTGCATGTGTACCCCAGAACTTAAAGTATAATAATAATAATAAATAATCATTACATTTTTGTATAATAAACAGTGTTTTGGCATTTATTAGCTTTCTATTCTTTTTTTTTTTTTTTTTTTTTTTGAGACGGAGTTTCGCTCTTGTTACCCAGGCTGGAGTGCAATGGCGCAATCTCGGCTCACCGCAACCTCCGCCTCCTGGGCTCAGGCAATTCTCCTGCCTCAGCCTCCCGAGTAGCTGGGATTACAGGCACGCGCCACCATGCCCAGCTAATTTTTTGTATTTTTAGTAGAGACGGGGTTTCACCATGTTGACCTGGATGGTCTCAATCTCTTGACCTCGTGATCCACCCGTCTCGGCCTCCCAAAGTGCTGGGATTACAGGCGTGAGCCACCGCGCCCGGGCCAGCTTTCTATTCTTTAATTAGGTTTAGAATAATCTCCATTATAGACAAAAATATCTATTTTTAGTTCTACAAATAAGAATCTAATCTAACTTTCTTGGCTTCACAACCACATGCTGATCTCTTTGAGTTTTTGTGGTTTTCTTAAACTTTATTTAAATTTAAATTAATTATTTAATTTTATTTAATTAGTTATTTAGTAATCAATTTAGTAATTAATGTGGAGAAATAGGAACATTTCCACTTATTTAGTAATTAATTACTAAATATTTATTTAGTAATTAAATAATATGTACACTGAAATTAATTAAATAATAAATAATAAAACTTGTACACTGAAAACTATAAAACACTACTGAAAGAAATTTAAGTCTTAAATGAATAGAACTACATATTCTGTTCATGGCTTGGAAGATTTATTATTTTTAAGATGACAATACTACCCAAAGTGACTTATGGATTCAGTGCAATCCCTATCAAAATCTCAAAGGTCTTTTCCACAGAAATGAAAAGGCTGATCTGAAAATGCATATGAACATTCAAGGGACCTTGAACAGCCAAAACAATCTTGGGAAAAAAAGAAGCAAAATTGGAGGGCTCACTTCCCAATTCCAAAACATACTACAAAGTTACAGTAATCCAAACTGACATAAGGATAGACACATAGGTCAATGGAATAGAATTGAGAATCCAAAAGCAAACTCATGCATTTATAGTCAATTGATTTTTACAAGACTGCCAGGATCATTCAACAAGGAAAGAGTAGTCTTTTCAACAAATGATGCTGGGACAACTGGATGTCCACATGCAAAAGAATAAAATTGGACCCTTACTTCACACTATGTAGAAAAATTAGGAATCAACCCAAATGCCCATCGATGATAGACTGGATTGGGAAAATGTGGCACATATACACCATGGAATATTATGCAGCAATCAGAAAGGATGAGTTCATGTCGTTTGTAGGGACATGGATGAATCTGGAGAACATCATTCTCAGCAAACTGACACAAGAACAGTAAATGAAACACCGCATATTCTCACTCATAGGCGGGTGATGAAAAATGAGAACACATGGACACAGAGAGGGGAGTACTAAAAACTGGGGTCTATAGGGGGAAAAGGGGAGGGCCAGTGGTAGGGGGAGGTGGGGAGGGATTGCCAGGGGAGAAATACCAAATGTGGGTGAAGGGGAGAAAGCAAACAAAACACACTGCCCTGTGTGTACCTATGCAACTGTATTGCATGCTCTGCACATGTACCCCCAAACCTAAAATGCAATAAAAAGGAAAAAAAAAAAAAAGAAAAATTAGCTCAAAATGAATGAAAGACTTAAATGTAAGAGCTAAAACTATAAAACTCTTAGAAGAAAATGTAACGGTAAGTCTTCATGGCATTGGATTTGGCAGTGGTTCCTTGGATATGACACCAAAATCATAAGCAATAGAAGAAATAGATGAATTTAACATTTTTGTACCTCAAGGGACACCATCAAGAAGATAAAAAGACAACTCACAAATGGGAGAAAATATTTGCAAATCATATATCTGATATGTAGAATGCATTTTTTAAAACCATTACAATTTAACAACAAAAACACAAACAACCAGGTTTTTTAAATAAGCAAAGGACTTCAACAGACATTTCTCCAAAGAAGATGTTCAAATGGCCAAGAACATGAAAAGATGCTCAATATCATTAGTCACCAACTAAGGACATTGAAATATTTAAAGAAGGTTTTAAAAATAGCTAATCACCCACTAGCCTGGGTATAATTTTTTAAATGACAAATAACAAGTGTTGATGAGAATGTGGAGAAATTGGAGCCCTGATACATTGCTGGTGGGACAGTAAAATGATACAGTTGCTATGGAAAACTATTTTGGCAAATCTTCAAATAGTTAAAATAGAGTTACCTAGTTAAAATAGCTAGGATCATATGACCTAGCAATTGTACACCTAGGTATATACCTAAAAAGAATTAGTACTCAAATAAATGCTTGTACATGAATGCTCACAGAAACATTGTTCATAATAGCTCCAAAGTAGAAATAGCTATTAGCTGATAATTAGATAAACAAAATGTGGCATACCTACACAATGAAATATTATTCAGCAATAAAAATAAAGGAAGTACTGATATATACTAATACATACCACAGTATGGATGAACCTTGAAAACGTTGTGCTAATTGAAGAAGGTGGTCATAAAGGCCACTTACTCTATGCTTCTATTTACATAAAATATCAAGCATAGGCAAATACATAGAAATATAAAGTAGACTGGAAATTTCCTAGGCATGGGTGAGTGGACAGAAGGCCTGGGAGAAACAAGGAGTGGCTATTAATGGGCACAGGATTTACTTGTGGGCAATAAACATATTCTAGAATTTGTTTTTGTATATACACAGAGTAAGCACAAAAAGCACACTGCTGCCTCCCCCACCAAACTGTCCATAGCTTCCATGTTGGTTAATATTCTGGGAGTTTCCTCCCAAGTCCTCCTGGAGTCTAAGTGTTTTGGAACTGAAGCCATAAGCTGCTTAGGATCATAAGCCTGCTTAGGGACTCTGTGCAATTCTCCTGATGGCCCATTTTTGAAGAGTACAAGCCTGTGAATATACAAAACTATTTAATTGCAGGTTTTAAATGGGCGAATGGTGCAGTATGTGCATTACATGCTAATAGATCTCTTATAAAGTAGGTCCCTATAATTGGGGGGGATCTGTGTCTAGATTGGATGTTAAATTTGTATGTGTTATGCACATTTTCTTGGGTGTAGTAACAGTATTATTAATGTAATCACATTATATAATAAGATAACAGTATTGTTAACACAACAATGACATTTGTAGACAGTTTGGTGGGGGAGGCAGCAGCATGCTTTGCCTACTTTGTGAGTATACAAAACATGCTTTGTGACAATGTGACAATGACATTGTAGTTATGTATGATAATGTTCTTTTGAGGAGATTCTGAACACTAAATTATATAGTGAAGTGCCTTGATGTCTGAACATTATCTCAAGTGGCTCACCCATTAAAAATGAAAAAAGGAAAGAAAGAAATGGGAATGGGGAGAGCAAAAATTAAAAAGAGAGAAAAGGAGGAACAGAGAGAAATTTACATATGCTACAAATATGAGCAAATGGAATATGGCCTGATTTTAGCAATTTATGGAGTGTAAGAAAGGGAAACAAATTTAACATTAAGATTGTAACCTTGGCTTTGAATATCACAGCTTTAATGATGTAGGATTTCATTTTTGAATCTGTGAGTTCAATCCTACATCTTGCTTCTGCAGTAGTAATATTTACATAATGATACTATTATACATTTTGTTTTCCATTTTCATTTGTAAAAACAAATTTCTCATTTTGTGTATATTGATTGTGGCATATAAACTTCAAACTTGCTACAAAATTATTGGTCTTACTACAGAACAGAATAGGAAAAAAAAGAAACGATGATGTTCCAGATATAATAATAGAAAACTGTCTAGAGTCTAGAAACGAAGGTGTAGACTGAAAATCAAAAGGAAACTTCTGTGCTATAAAAAATTATAATAAAAGTCAGCAAATACAAAAATGTAGTCTGATGAAAAAATAATCCCACATGCATCAGTGGGAGGAGATATGACCACATATGAAGTAGAGGAAAGAGAGTATATCAGCCTTACTTCAGATTTTTTCACAGCTATTTTGGAAAATAAGTTATAGATGAGAAAACAGATGTTCGCAAATTTTGTACCTATCCAAGTCATCCTTCAGTTATATAAATAGATATGCAAAAAGAATCTGAAATATGCGAAAATGCAATAAATATAACATGTCTGTAATAGCCATTTAAAAATGACTTGATGCAATCCAACCAACCAAGGAATTAGTCAAAATTTAAAACTCAAAAATTAAAAAGTCATAATATTAAAATAATGGTATAGAAAAATGCATTTAACATCAATAATAAAGAAAAATATGTATTATGGTAATAAAAGCAGATAGCATGCTTTATCTTTTATTTTTATTTATTTATTTATTTTTGAGACGGAGTTTCGCTCTTGTTACCCAGGCTGGAGTGCAATGGCGCGATCTCGGCTCACCGCAACCTCCGCCTCCTGGGTTCAGGCAATTCTCCTGCCTCAGCCTCCTGAGTAGCTGGGATTACAGGCCCCGCCGCGCGCGCCGCCGCCGCCGCCGCAGCCGCCGCTACTGCTGCGGGGGCCGCGGGAGTCGCAGTTGGGGCACCGCCCCAAGGGAAGGCGAGGGAGCCGCGCCAGGCCGGAAGCCGAGGCGGGGCCGGGACGAGGCGCTGAAGCCCAGCATGGCCGGCCCGGGCCCCACCTTCCCGCTGCACCCGCTCGTCTGGGTGAACCACACCGCGAACTAGAGGCCGCACTGCACAGTCGCCAGCACGACATTAAACAGGAGGATCTCCGCAGGCGGACCCTCTTGGAGCTGGCCCTGTCTCTGGGAAACCTGGAGTCCGTGCGAGTGCTCCTTCGGCACAACGTGGGCAAAGAGAATCGCCAGGGCTGGGCAGTCCTGCAGGAGGCAGTCAGCACTGGAGACCCCGAGATGGTGCAGCTGGTGCTCCAGTATCGGGACTACCAGAGGGCCACGCAGAGGCTGGCGGGCATTCCAGAGCTGCTCAACAAACTTCGCCAGGCCCCTGATTTCTACGTGGAGATGAAGTGGGAGTTCACCAGCTGTGTGCCCCTTGTGTCCAAGATGTGCCCGAGCGATGTGTACCGCGTGTGGAAGCGGGGTGAGAGCCTGCGAGTGGACACCAGTCTCCTGGGCTTTGAGCACATGACCGGGCAGCGGCACCAGAGGAGCTTCATCTTCAAGGGCCAGGAGGCAGGAGCCCTGGTGATGGAAGTGGACCATGACCGGCAGGTGGTGCACGCAGAGACGCTGGGGCTCACTTTGCAGGAGCCTGAAGCACTGCTGGCGGCCATGCGGCCTAGCGAGGAGCACGTGGCCAGTCGCCTCACTTCTCCTATCGTCTCCACCCACCTGGACACTCGGAATGTGGCCTTCCAGAGGAACAAATGTGGTATCTGGGGCTGGCGGTCTGAGAAGATAGAAACTGTTAGCGGTTACGAGGCCAAAGTATACAGTGCCACCAACGTGGAGCTGGTGACACGCACACGCACGGAGCACCTCTCTGACCAGGACAAGTCGAGGAGCAAAGGGGGGAAGACTCCGTTCCAGTCCTTCCTGGGGATGGCCCAGCAGCACTCCTCCCACACTGGGGCCCCCATGCAGCAGGCAGCCAGCCCCACCAACCCCACAGCAATCTCCCCTGAGGAGTACTTCGACCCCAGCTTCAGCCTGGAGTCACAGAACATTGGCCTCCCCATCGAGATGTCCAGCAACGTACAGAGGTTCAAGGCACCACTCTGAGTGAGTAGCACCCTCTCTCCCTGGGTGACCAGGTGACACCCATCATTGACCTAATGGCCATCAGCAATGCTCACTTTGCCAAGCTGAGTGACTTCATCACCCTGTGCCTCCCACGTGGCTTCCCCATCAAGATTAAGATTCCCCTTTTCCACGTGCTTTATCTTTTAATAACAAAGTTGAATTTAAGGCAAACAGCATTACAGAGACCAAAATTCACTGCTATAATAAAGTAGATAAAAAGATCTCTTTCAGGTAGGGACAGGTTGAAAAAGACAATATAGGTATAAAAATATATCAGGAAAAAATAATGTGACAGAAATTGAGTGATTCTAACATTTTAGGAAGAGTAAGTTAAGTAGGAGACATAAGATCAATAGAACAGAATAGAGTCCAGAAACAGACCCAACCATCTTGAGTTAATTTTTTCTATGGAATAAGGAAGGTGTCCAGTCTTGATCTTCAGCATTTGGCTAACCAGTTATCCCAGCACCATTTATTGAATAGGGAATCCTTTCCCCATTGCTTGTTTTTGTCAGTTTCATTGAAGATTAGATAGTTGTACATATGCAATCTTATTTCTGGGTTCTGCATTCTCTTCCATTGTCCATGTGTCTGTTTTTGTAGCATGCTGTTTTGCTTACTGTCTCCCTGTTGTATGGTTTAAAGTGATGCCTCCAGCTTTGCTCTTTTTGCTGAGGATTGCCTTGACTATAAGAGCTCTTTTCTGGCTCCATATGGATTTTAAAATCATTTTCTCTAGTTCTGTGAAGAATGTCAATGTTTAGTTTCGTTTAGTTCAATAGGAATAGCACTGAATCTATAAATTGCTTTGTGCAATATGGCCATTTTAATAATATTGATTCTTTCTATCCATAAACATGGAAGGTTTTTCCACTTATTTGTGTCATCTCTGATTTCTTTGAGCAGTGGTTTGTAGTTCTCCTTGTAGAGACCATTCACCTCCCTAGTTAGCTGTATTCATAGGTATTTTATTCTTTTTGCGGCAATTGTGAATTCTTGATTTGGAAGTACACTCCTGATTTGGCTCTCTGCTTGACCATTGTTGGTGTATAGGAGAATGCCTGTACACATGGAGGGGAACAACATACACTGGGGCCTATCAGAAGGCAGAGGATGGGAGAAGGGGGAAGATCAGGAAAAATAACTAATGGTACCAGGATTAACATCTGGGTGATGAAACAATCTGTACAACAGACTCCCGAGATACAAGTTTGCCTGTATAACAAACCTGCACATGTACCCTTGAACTTAAAAGTTAAAAAAAAATAGATCCAACTATATACGGTCAATTGACTTTCTACAAGTTACCCAGATAATTCAATGAGGAAAAGGATAGTATTTTTCAACAATTCATAATCTAAAACTGAACATATCCTCAAAACTATGAAAAAGTAAAAGAATGAACAAATTATGGTATATTTATACAATGAGATACTACTCAGTAATTAAAAAACCCTGATGATCTACACAATTACATGATGAAATATACAAAACATTATGTGGAGCTGAAGTAGCCAGATATAAGAGTACATACTAAATGATTCCACTTATGTGAAGTTCAAAAGCAGGCAAATCTCATTTGTGGTAATAGAAATCAGATAGATAGAAATCAGTTTAGTGGTAGGAAGAGCTTGACTGCAAGGGTTCACACTGAATTATGAAGTGATGGAATTATTCTAGACTTGGATGGGGGTAGGGGTGAATGATATAAAAGTCCCCTATTCCCTCATCCTTGCCGTTACCAATGATTGCATTGCTAAATTTTCCAAGTATGTGGTCATTCGATAATCCCTTATAGATTTTCAACATTTAAAAAAATTTTTTGAGACAAAGTCTTGCCGTGACACCCAGGTTGGAGTGCAGTGGCTCAATCTCTGCTCACTGCAACCTCTGTCTCCTGGGTTCAAGTGATTCTCCTGCCTCAGCCTCCTGAGTAGCTAGAACTACAGGCACTCACCACCACACCTGGCTAATTTTGGTACTTTTAGTAGAGAAAGTATTTCATCATACTGGTGAGGCTGGTCTTGAACTCCTGGCCACAAGTGATCCACCCATCTCAGCCTCCCAAAGTGCTGGGATTACAGGTGTGAGTCACCACGCCCAGCCTTTTTAAAGTTTTTTTTTTGGTTAATACTAAAGCTGAACATCTTCTCATATTGTTTATTCTTTATGAATTTTCTGTTAATACTCTTTGTACATTTTTATTCAGTTATGTTTTATTTTAATTAGATTATAGGAGCTCTTTGTCAATTTAAAATTTTAATATTTTGTTTATTAGATGTGTTATAGCCTGTCACTTCTTTTTCAAGTTTCTGTTATCTTTTGTCCCAGAAAACTCTCCTATTTCTATCTGGTCAAAATTGTCAACGTTTTTATAGAGTTTCTGAGTTTTGCCTAAATTATAAATATTATTTTATGTTAGAGTATTTTTATAGGTTGTAATTTAAGTTTAGGTTTTTAAGCCATTGAAAATATAATTTTACTTGTACTGTAAAAATTTTATTTAATATTTTCCCATGTCAATTTTCCTGGTAGTATATCCTTTCTCCCATTGATTTTCTTGATCACAAAATAAATCCTCACATACACAGGACTATCTTAAAGTTGTTTTCACTCAGTTGATCTTTTTTGTCGATTCCTGCAGAAATGCATACTATTTTAATTATTGTGTTTTTCAAGTATGTATTGATACTTGGCAGACAAAGGACCAATTTATGGTTTCTATTTTTCAAATACTTATAAATTTTATCTATTTTGTCTTTCAAAAGAAATTGAGAATAAACTTGTCCATCTCCACAAAAATAAATCTACTGGGAATTTTATTTGGATTACATTGAATGTATTTGAGTAGAGTTCCTTTTTTAGAAGTATTGAGGTTTCAAAAATATTAAGTGGTACAGTTTCAATTAGACTGATTTTATTGCATAAAATCAATCTTTAAAAAACTGCTAAAACTGAGGTATCCTTTCCAGAGTCATTATATATGTTCATTTCTGTAGTATTTTTATATATTTTATTAAACTTGTAAAGGTTTCTTCCTTAGTTTTTGTATCTGCTTTTAATTGCTGTTAAGAATTAAATCCATTTTTATTGGTTTTTAAATTGGGTTTTTCTGGTATAAAAAAAGTGATTTAATTTAAAGACCAATCTTATTTCTTGCCTCTAGTATCTCCGTTGTATTATGCCACTGAAATTTTTAGAGTGTATCCATTACAAAAACTGGAATGACCATATGGGGATTAATAAAGTATTTCAGGAAATATTCAATGGAAAAGGCAAAATTCAAGATGGTAGGTATACACATATAGAAGCGGTTGGTCAGGTAACTGCATGAGAGGAGACCCTGTATGGAAATAATAACAAAGAGCAGACTTAGATTGAATGTGAAAAGCTTAATGTTGTGCATGTCGAGATTAAACTGCTCATAGAGCCTCAAGAGGAGGTATCCATGAGGCAGCTGGAAGTCCTGGAGAAAGGCTGGGCTTCACACAGAGCTGTGGACATCAGCAGAACATACAGGATGAAAGTGGTAGGCTCGGATGCCATCACTTAGAGGGGAAAACTAAGAATGCAAATTGAGTGGGGCACGGTGGCTCATGCCTGTAATCTCAACACTTTGGGAGGCCAAAGTGGGACTATCACTTGAGGTCAGGAGTTTGAGACCAGCCTGGCCAATATGGTGAAACCCAGTCTCTACTCAAAACACAAAAATTAGCTGTGTGCAGTGATGGGCAACTGGGGTCCCAGGTACTCGGGAGGCTGAGGCAAGAGAGTCACTTGAGCCTGAGAGGCAGAGGTTGCAGTGAGTGAGATCAGGCCATTGCACTTCAGCCTGGGTGACAGAGTAAGACTCCAAAAAAAAAAAAAAAAAAGAAAAGAAAAGAAAATACAAATTC